GGACGCGTTGCTGGTGGACGCGTTGCTGGTGGACGCGTTGCTGCTGGTGAGGAGCATGATCCTGGTGACGAGGAAGCAATACTACTAGGAGGAGAACAACACACTGGTGGAGGAGGACGCGGACGCGGACGCACTGGAGGAGGAGGACGCGGACGCACTGGAGGAGGTCGTGGTCGTGGACGCGGAGGTCATGGTCGTGGTTGTGGAGGCGTTGCTGCTGCTGGACTGGATCCCGCGGAAGCTGCTGCATTGGAAGAGCTCATTAGAGTATTGGATGCAGAAGAAGAGAAGGAAGAAGAAGGAGATCAAGAAGCTGGTGCTGATGGTGAGGATAATCCTTTTGGTGAAGATATCAATGGTGACGACGTCGAGGATGGAGGGGAGAGTGTTAATAGCCAAGGAGCAACAACAACAAGAAGACCGCTTCCTGGGCAAGCTCCTAAGCCACCACCAGGTGATGAATTACGTAAGTAACTTCTGCTAGGAATGGTCGCAATTGCGGTGATGATATCTACAAAAAGAGGGAGAACATCCTCAGCTACAGTATTTTAGACGTCATCAAAGCAAACGTTTACTAATTAATTAATTATTTCAACTGGCTGGCGGTTACTTTTGTCATGTAAATATGCAACAAGGGTTTTACAAATGGTGGTCCTGCTCAGGCCAGGGCAACTGCAGCAGCAGCAGCTGCAGCAACGGCGCTTGTTTTTATTCTGGGCTGGCCGGGCAGTGCTTGGTGGCGCTTGAACATGTTTTGGTTGGCAATTGGAATATGTATTTTTTTCTCTGTGTGTGTAATATTGGTGTGTCTTCAAGTTTGTTGTCTGCTCAGACCAGGGCAGCAGCGGCTGCAACAACGGCACCAGCAGCGGTTGCCATCCCGGTGCTTGGCGCAGCGCTTGTGTCTGCTGCCTGAGCCACAAGATCACCAAAGACGGCATCTGCATTGTCCTCTTGCAAGAGATTAACCTTGGTGCCAAAGGAGCCGCTGGTGTCTGCCTTGTTGCCGCTTTCTTGGAGGTGGCGCTGCAAGAGATTGCCGCTGTTGGTCGAGAAGCTGGCGGTCAATCGGCGATCGGAATGGTTGACATGGTAGACCGGAGATGTCAACAACTTGTCACCCATATCAAATTGATACTTACTTTCACTACTAATGTATTCTTTCTTACAAGGAGAATTTTTGGTAGTTGCAAAGCTGCTGGTACTTTCTTCACCAGTGCATGTATCATTCATATCATCGATATCATCGACGCAAAAGCATTCATAATAATTATCTCCCCCAAGACCAAAAAAGTGGGGGCAATCCAGCAGGAAGTACTTAGTCTCGCTAGTAGGCTTGCAAAAATCATTGCACTGCTTTGCATCAGATTCAACCCCACCATTATCTAGAGGAAATAAGGGGCCATTGAGGCCTCTTTCTAGAGGAGTTTTTCTGCATCCGGCCTTCTTAAACTTTAATGGCTTGGTGAAGCCCACCAGCTCCACCGTGCCTGAGCATGTGACCAAAGCTTCATCTTCTGCAGAATTTCCGGTATAATACTTGGGAGTCACTACGGTTTCAAAAGACAAAACACCCACTCCTACACTGGCTCCATCGGCCTTCTTGTTATTTGTGGGATCAGTGGTGACAATTGTCAGTGCCGTCTCAACTCCGTCTTCCACCACCTCAATTTTGCCACATGTAACCTCTTCAAATGCAACCATGCAAAGATAGTCATAGTTGATCTTCTCATCCTCAGAAGGGCCAACGCAGATGGAGAAGCTCTGGCCAATCTTGTAGGTGCGGCCTGGGTCTCCTGAATCAGATGGACCACACAGATAGGAGTCCAGTTTGATTGTCTTCTTTTGATTATCTTCCAATGATTTCATGCTGGTGCCCACAACCGTGATGGCCTTCTCAAACGTCTGGAACTTGCTTTCCGCATCAATGATCACCTTACTTGATGTATCAAAAAAGGATACATAATCACCTTCATGCTTCTAGGTAACCCGAGCACATGCATCAAAAGTACCAATAGTCGGGTTGTCCCCATTTACCGCTGTCCAGACTGAAGAATCATGTAGGTTCATAGAGAATTGAGCTACGCCTAAGAACAGCAGTACGATGGAAGCACAAAGGAAGAGTGTGATGAGGATTCATTTCATGGCATCCACCCATCACAAACACCCTTCCAGAAAGCTACGCGTTGTTGCCAATGGCCTAACGTACCAATTTCTCTGTCTTTTGTAGCCCTCAATCCAAGGTAACTTTCAGGTGTTGATAATAAAGAAAACCTAGAGCTGAGGCCTACATTGCCTTCCGCAATCTTGGTTCCTTCGGCGCATGCCTGGCCCTCTCCAACTCCTGCAAACACCTCAATTGTTGGGGAATCGATATCAAATCTCCTTCAACGTGGAGAGAAACATCGACAAAAGGATCACTTCCAGTATTTGTATTTCCGATTGGATGGAGCTCCCACGGTCCAACCCTGTGCTTTTCTCCTTGGACAAACCAAGGTGAATAGTTGAAGCCGAGGGCAGCAGTGACAAGTTTTGAGAAGTTCATATTGGAATATGAGGTCAATGTTTGTGTTTTGCTTTTTAGTCCTAAAAGCTTTGCTTTTTGGCTTTGTGAGATGAAGGGTGGGAGGAAAGAAATCATTCCCTCTCCAACAATGCTCCATCTTAGTATTTGAGGAATAACATTGAGTTTTTGCTTTGAGAGCTCGGGGTGTAACATCATTGCTCCACTGCACCGTAGAATGGACATAATGTCTTGATACTAGTAGTGCTTTGGTTCTTGAGCAACCCTAAGAAGGAAGTAGTACTCACCAATAGTACCCACCGCTCTGTACAATGGACACAATCATGTTACGCACTGTTTGGGAACGGAAAAGAGAGAACCAAAACAAACCACACCGTACTAATGATCCAAACCGAGGAACCATTGTGACCCAGACCACCAGTGAAACCAACCCACTGACCGGGGGTCCTGCCTGCATATGTTTTTTCTTGTTTTGAGAAGAGAAGATTTAGCTCCACTCCTGAGGAGGTCTGAAGGAATGGATTGCAGTTGTTGGCAAGACTCAAATCTTGTCGTTTATTCAAGAGCTCGAAGGGGGTTCGTGTGATATTCATCTCATCGCCAGACAACTTCGATTAAAATCAATCACATACAGGATTGTAATCATAAAATCTCATGTATTGTGCTTATCCCAGGGCCCACATTTTTGTTCTGAGAAGAAAAGATTCATAATGATCCAAAGCGAGGAGCCATTGTGACCCGTACTGGTGAAACGAACCCATTGTGATCCGAACCGGGGACACGGCTCTACCCCGTACTATGCGGTACGGCACGGCGGCATCGTTGTGGCATCTATTTGTATGCCCTGAAACATAGTGTTCAAGCGTATTATTACATCTTTTTTAGTTCTTTTATAAGTAAAATACTTGTCCTCTGGATTAATTTGTTGTTAGTACTTAAAACAAGGTTCTTCCTTTTGCCTACTAGTATGTAGAGAGTCATGGTTTGAATTTGTCAATTGTGAAACTGTTTGGATTCATTGAATGTGGAAATAGTCATATTATTTGATCGGGTAAAAAATATATTGTTCCCTGCACTTAAAGTAATTGGTTCTCCTTGATTAAATGATGTAATGATCAGCAGTATGAAGGTAAGTACCGCGGTTTTGGGGCCATCACTAGTATGTCAAAAGGAAAACCGCCCTGCAATCATGGAAGTCGAAACATTAAAAAAAGACTAAAACAGTTTTGACTGTAATTGGTTCGCTGGGGGGGGTCTGGGGGGTGGATTTAAGAAACAGGGTATTCATCATCTTTTTAGTCGTACCGTAGAGCTGGTAGGGTTTTGAACTATGAAACATGGTAAAAGAAGAAAGTTAAGGGAATGAGATGGCAGCTTAGCTGCTGGTGGCATGCGACGCAATTGAAACTACAAAATACGGTGCTCGCAGACACCTTCGACTTCCACTGCCACCCAAGCCGACCAATCCATTTCGTCGCTCTGACGACGCACCGAAAGGATCCTTCCCTCCCAAATTTCCTTTCGTTCCCGCGATCCGCAATGGTGGGCCGGTGGTTCCGCCACCGGCGGATCCCCCCGTGGTCCGGCCTTGGCGGCGGCGGTCCCCCGGGCCTTCCGGTTCGGTTCCGGAAGCAGTGGCAGGCGCAGGCGCAGATGCAGTGGCAGATGCGTATGCAGAAACAAGCACCACCGATCCGGGGGAAGCACCAGGCGCACCACCCGCACGGTGCCGGGGGGAGGCCCTCCGAGCAGGGGGCAGCCGGACCGGTCCGGGTCGAGCTGCACGACCTGCTGGGGGGTGGACCCCTGGCCTACCCGCGGGCGTGGGCCTACCAGCAGGTGCTCCTGGGGCACCGGCTGTGGAGCAAGAGGAGGGCGGCACACACACCACCGACCGAAGAAGGGGCACCGCCCGACTGCCTCCTGGTGCTGGAGCACGCGCCCGTCTACACCCTGGGCCGGGGCGCCAGCGAGGAGCACCTGGCCTTTTTGGACGGACCGGGTTCGGCTTCGGCTTCGGCTTGTGCGTCGGGGCTGGCGAGGACCGCGAGGGGGCCGGGAACGGCGCGGCTCTCCCTCGACCGCTCCGGGGGGGAACGGCTGGAGCGGGCGCTGGCAAAGGCCAAAGCGGAAGAAGGGGGACCGCCGGAGGCCGCCCTGGAGGCCGTCGGGGAGTGGACCGCATCGATCGAACCGGTTTTGGCCCCCAACGGCGTCCCGGTGTACCGCGTCGAGCGCGGCGGAGAAGGTAGGTAGGCGGGAAGGAAGGAAGTGTTTGTTCGGACCCCGCGTGCGCGGGCGTTGGCGTGTGAGCGCAGGTGGGAGAGAGGCATGCGATGCCATGCCATGCCATGCCATGCGACGCGGCTCACCACTTTCGATTCCCCTTGTCGTTTGGTGGGGGTGTACAATGGTTGGTTGGTTGGTTCGTTCGTTCGTTGGTTGGTTCGTTCGTTGGTTGGTCTTGGCCAAAAAAGTCACCTTCCACGGCCCCTCGCAGCTGGTGGTCTACCCGATGCTGGACCTGAAGCGGCCGGGGGCTCCCTATAAGGCGGACCTGCACTGGTACCTGAAGGGGATCGAGGAGGTCGTCCTCTCGACCCTGGCCCACTACGGCATCGAGGGCGACCGGGACGCCTCCCACCCGGGCGTCTGGGTCGGAAGCGACAAGATCGCCGCCGTGGGGATTTCTGCCTCGGGCTGGATCACGACGCACGGCTTTGCCCTCAACGTCGATCCCGACCTGTCCCCCTTCGACACCTCGGTCATTCTGCCCTGCGGCATCCCGGACCGGGGCGTCACGAGCATGGGGGAGGTCCTCCGCCGCCGAAACAGAGACAACGACAGAGACAAACACAAGGACAGAGACAAACACAAGGACAGAGACAAACACAAGGACAGAGACAAACACAAGGACAGAGACAAACACAATGACAGAGACAAACACAAGGACAGAGACAAACACAAGGACAAGGACGACCCAGCCAAGGTCGAGGTCCCGAGCCTCTCCGAGGTCGCAGAGGTCGTGAGAAAAAGCATGGAGGAGGTCTTTGGGGTGGTCATACGCTAAGCACTGTAATTCTGTAAAATTCGGTAAAATTCGTGCGGTAATTCGATCGATCGATCGATCGCTTGTGCATTGGTTTCTTTCTTTTCGTTATGGTCGCCGGTTCTGCCGCCGGGGACCTCCGAGAAGGTCCCGGTCGTTCGAGCGGTCCCTTCGCCGCCGCTTGCCCGCGTGGTGCGGCCGTCCCCTCCGCCGTCGCGCACAGCCAGCGAGGCGGCGGCCGCGGCTCCCCGTGGGTTCGCTCGGCATCGGTTGCGCTGGTTCACCGCCGACCGCCGGTCCGCCCGCGCTTTCGGTTCCGTCCGCCCTTTCGGTCGTCTTCGAAGGCCCGGCTTTCCCGCGAGAGGCCCACCATGTCGACGGACTCGCCCGGGGCCAGGACCGCCGTTCGGGGGGGCTGCTCCCCCCGGAGCCGTTTTCCCTCCGCCAGGGCGAGGCCCAGGCCGAGGGCTTGGTCGTCGTGGTCGTCGTCCGGCCCGGGGGCTTCGTCGTCCGCGGGGTGCACCCCTGCCGGATCGGTTCGCTCGGTGGTTGCGGGCGCGGACCAAGAGTCCGCCTCCCGCGGGGCCCGGTGCTCCCTCGAGAGTTCCGAGAGCTCGGCTCGGTGTCGCTCGTGCGCTCGGTTCCGCAGCCTGGCAAAATTGGCGAGCAGCGTGTCCTTGGTTTCCTGCTGGACGCGACCGAGGGTTTCCGCCGTCTTCTTCCACCGCAGCATCCCCTCCTTCGTTCGTTCCGCGTCCTCCAGCGATCGGTTCAGTGCCTTCCCGGCGAAACGACAGTACGACAAGACGTCCGTGGGTTCCATTTTCTTCCGAAAGACGCTTCTCTTCATTCCGTTTGCGACCGTCTCTTGGATCGCGAGAAAGACGTCGTCCGGGCCGTCCCCGTGATCGGGCCCTTCGGGGGTTCGTCCCGGCGTTCGTCTTCGTTCTTCGCTCTGGAAGACGAGGCCGAGACCGTCGCTGGGTGGGCGGTGTTGGTTTCTGTTTCGGTTTTGGGTTCGGGGCGAATCCTCGTGTTCGTCTTCCTTCTCGTGGCCACAGGGGGACCCGCCGTCCCCCCGCAGCAACAGCCGGCCCAGCGCGAGGACCCTCCCGTCGCCGTCGCTGTTGCCATCGCTGTTGCCGTTGCCGTCACCGGCGCTCACGAGGCCTTCCAAGCAATCGGATGCGGCCGCGGCCGTTTCGGACGGCAAAAGAACGCACCGGTACGCCGCGGTTCCGGTCGAGAGCCGAACGGCAACGGCCCGGTGGTTGCCGTCCCGAACGTCCTCGACCGAGACCAGAATGGCGGCTTCCGTCGATCCCGAAGAATCGGCGGTCTTCTCCACGGTCACGGCGCGGCTTCCCAGACACACCGTCCTCCCCATGGCGAACGAAACGACATCGAAATCTGCGCGAGGGAGAGAAACCGTACCGGTAGCATAGTTGCATTCAAGTACAAATTCAGTCCCTTGCGTGTCACTGTATCCAAGAATGGGTATTCGGGAATTCATTTTTTCTGAAAAAAAAATTGAATTGAAATCGACATGGTTCCTGTTGCACTCACGCACACACACGATTGAAATCAGAAGCCGGAGTATAATACTTCGTTCCCAATCAAATGTCCCTTTTACACCTTTACTACTGAAATATGGTCATTATTTGGGCAATTGGATTGCTTCTTTTTGCACTTACAGATCTATTATACTATTAGTCAGTAATGACGATTTAATATAGACAGTATGTCTGACGTGCTCGCTAAAGCTACTCATAGAGACCCAATTTTGGCATATGATTCTCATTTTACGGGTTGAAAGGGTTCTGTCCATCATTTAACTACGGGATCGGTGGCTTCAGAAAGCTGAGAGTGAGAGCTTTATGACAGCATTCTTATCATACTTATTGATAAGGTTCCTGTACGGTCATTTCTTGTTCAAAAGAGGTGCACGGTACGATTGTCAAAATTTCATTTGCTGTGTTAATGGTGTGTGTAATTTTATGTGTGAAAATAATTTTTAATCACGCGCACGCTCATTTCCACTGTGTATTACTGAATCTACGTGTTCTACACAGTCATATTCAATTTGAATCTGGTTCTCTGAATTTGGGGTTAAATAACATTATTCATGAGTGTTAAACACTCTTTAGGAACAGAAAAAAAGGGTCATAGGTACATCTATTTGGGAACGGAGAGTACCTACTCGATATTCGACGAACTCGGTAAACGGAAGAACGGACTAGAGGATCGCGAAAGATTATCATTGACAGATTGATAGAAGAAGCACGTTGTTCTCGGAGAATTTGGATACGAGAACCTTCGTACAGTAGTACTCGTACCGGACGAAAGGATTTCGATGCATCGTCGAGAGGCATTGAAACACAACGCAATTTTCACAACTTGAGGAGGCGTCGAATAAAACGCGCAACAAGGAATGCAGTAAAAAGCACAACAAGGAGATCGACTCGTAACGCCTTTACGAAGCACATTTGGAAACCCTTACGCTGATCAGAACGAAATTGAAGAAGAAGAAGACTAGCAACTGTCTGAAACGGGAGAAGAATTAGCAAGGCGATACGACGGGGCAGAATTAGGAGATATCGCAACAGAATGGAAAGAAATAGTACATCATACACCATGCAAGCAACAAATCAAAACACGGGTCGAGTCGAACATTGTCCATCACCGAGATCAAGTGAGATTCAAGGAACCGCAAATGCAGATCGATGCCATGATGACGACGCAGTTGCCGCAGAAATGAGAATATCTAGCAGTGACGACGAAGCGTCGTTTGGAGAAAAATCTGAGGAGAAAATGGATTTGTCGTCTCGAGCCACCTTAAACAAGGGCAGCGAGCGCAAGACCTTTCCAAAAGATTGCTATTCCTTCCTCTCGCTCCACAGCTTCGTTGACAGTCCCCTTTTCTTTTCCTTTGGATTCACGGTGTTCTTATTTCAAGTGTCGTTTTTTGTACTTATGGTGTTGAGTGTCCTTGATCCCGTGTGGAGCTCCAACGGAGACAAGGACAATCCATCAGATAGTATTCTGGCAACATTTGTTGATGCAAATTCCACTCCACTTGTTCGGGCAACACAGGTCATTTCAATCCTTACGTATGTTGTATTTGCAGACTCTAGCATGATGGATGTCGCTATCGGAGTAGAGACCTTTCCTCGGGATTTAAAGGAAGCAACCAATTCCATGGTGTTTTCTTGCGTTCTTCGCATTTCACAGGGATTTATGGCAGCAATGACAGCATTTGTGCTCATTATAACAGCAGAAAACGTGATCGACATAGTATTGAATTTTACAGCCGTGGTGAGTCCGAAATGTGCATCCATACAGAATTAGCCGCTGTGACTGAATAATTTAGAACTGATTTTTTTTCGTTCTCTGTCCCCCTCTTGTCAACAGAATTTCATCAGTCATCTCGACGATGTTGCCTTCCAGCTGGCTGTTTTGGGAAAATATGGAGAACGGCTCGAACAGGAAGCAAATCGTATTAAACAAATACCTCTCCCCCCATGCATGTCTCAAGGAAAGACGCATACACGATTCCGCAGTACACTGGCAACTTGCGGTGTTCTTTTTCTCGGTACGATGATTGCAATCATGTGTGCTCAAGACAACGATGATGTGTGGCTGACTAAAGTATTGAGAATAGAGTTTCAAGACCCAGAGCTACATCCATACAGTGGGTGCTACGAGATTGATGCAACTTCGATTCACGACACATTTAAGAGAAAGGTCTACAGGAGCTCCGACGATTCGTTGGACGATGTGAATTTTGGATACTGCATAGACAGTCGCCAGTGGAAGCTATTCGAAAACGTGGGCGACCCTTGTGATGCCAACGAAAATACACTTGCAGTTTCTGCTAAGACAGATTCCTTTGATATATCAACCGTGTTTGGTGAGGCTTGGTTTTCTCTCTATGGCAAACCACTTGATGTTTATTTTTATGAATTAGATGAAAAATTAGAAGGCAACTGTTCCTCTTTCGACGATGGGAAATGCGACAGTCTTTTCAACAAATTCGAATATCAATTCGATGGTGGGGATTGTTGTTCTGCCACGTGTTCTCATTTTGATTGTGGAATTGGGGCTATCAAGAAAGGATTTGGCATGGAAAATGCAATTGGTGACGGATTTCCGCAATGTAGTGATCCGAATATGGTCCCACTAACCATTCGCATTGGCAACTTCTCAAGTAGCGGGCTTGCCCAGGTACCAGAGGAATGGGATATTGACAACTCCGAAAATCCGCTCGATGGGCATAATAATCCAGTTAGTCCACATCTATCGCTAGAGTGTGACCAGAAGAATGTCTTTGCCATAGATCTCGATCCAAGCATGACCGACCGCACAGAAATAGTCTCGGTCACGGATGGGGCGAAGTGTACCATGAAAGTATCAAACAGAACCGTCCATAATGATACCGATAACGTTTTGAATCGTGAACCGATCTGGTTTGTTGATTATGCCATGTTCCAAGGAGAGACTGTTGAGAACGGCACAAAAATTCTTGAACACAACAGTGGTGTACAGGAAGAATCATCATTTTTTGTGATTCCGAAGTGCATGTTTAAGAAGCTCTCTCTTTATACCGACGAGACAGAGTTGTATAACGATGGTGCCTCGATTGAAGCATTCGAATGGATTCGGGAAGGATTCTTCGGAACACAAGCTTGTGACGACGACAATGATCTTATTTGTTTATTTGCCTTGAGTTCATTATATTTTGCTGCGCCTCTTGTCGGAATCGACGACGAAGCTTGGATAAAAGAAACCCCACATTGCAATTGGGGCGCAGTTGAGTGCACTCGTGGTGATATTTCCAAACTGAAGCTGGAGAAGTCTTCACTTGCGGGGACAATTTCAAGTGCTATTGGACTGTTGACATCACTTCGAGAATTCAACATGAGTGAGTTCTTTCGACGAGGTGAAGGTTTCAAATGGAAAAATGCCGTTGTGCAAAAGATAGATACACGCAAATGCATGTTACATTCGATTCCACTTTTTTGCAGCTACTAAGCATGCCTATTTTTTTTTTGTTCCACAGAGTCAAATAAAATAATCGGAAAGATTCCGATTGAGATTGGTTTGTTGACGTTTCTTCAAAAATTGGACTTGAGTAAGTGATTACAGTCGGTTGCTTTCTTGTGTTCTCTACAGTTGCAGATTTTGTCTCACGCTTTCCCTCTTCAATTTGTTGTGTTTGCAGAGTCGAATGAAATAGAAGGCGAGATTCCAAGTGAGATTGGTCTGTTGATGTCTCTTCAAGCATTGGATTTGAGTAAGTGCATCTGTTTAGATTTCCTTTTTTTTATACAGCGTTGCGGTAAATTTGCTGACTCGTGTCTTTCCTCTGCTACTGACCGTATAGGCTACAATCGTTTAACTGGAAGAATTCCTACAGAAATTTTGTCGTTGCCCTCCCTTGAAGTTCTACATCTGGGTAAGTGATTCCGGTTGGTTCGCTGGTTCTTTTCTCCATCGCCATGGATGTTGTCTCGTGTTTCCCCTCATGTGTAATCTTCTATAGATTCGAATGCTCTCTCTGGCGAGATTCCGAGTGAGATCGGTTTGTTGACGTCTCTTGAAAGTTTGTGGTTGGGTAAGTGATTCCAGTTGGTTCGCTGGTTCTTTTCTCTAGCGCTATGGATGTTGTCTCATGGCTGCCCTCCTGTATTGATCTTCCGTATAGGCCATAACGGTTTCACTGGCGAGATTCCGACCGAGATCGGTTCGTTGACGTCGCTTCAGGGTTTGTGGTTTGGTACGTGATCCCTATCGGGTCTTTGTTTCGTTTCTGTTGTCATGGATGTTCTCTTATGGATTGTCCCTCCTGCATCGATCGTCTTGCACAGAATTAGACAATGGTTTCACTGGTGATATTCCGAGTGAGATTGGATTGTTGTCGTCGCTTCAACAATTGTGGTTGGGTGAGTGATTCAAATTTGGTTTTCAGCTTTCTCCGGTGCCACAAACTGTGTCTGGTGTTTTCACACTTGTATTTTTCTTCTTGCATAGAACTGATCAATGGTTTCGGCGGTGAGATTCCGAGCGAGATCGGTTTGTTGACGTCGCTGCAAACTTTATGGCTGGGTAAGTGGTTGAATTTTTTTCCCTCTATTCTAGCGTCACGGATTGTGTCTCATGGTTTTTTTCATCTTGGATTGGTGTTCTTGTACAGAACTAGATAAAGATGTCACCGGTGCGATTCCGACAGAGATTGGTCTGTTGACTTCTCTTCGAGTTTTGCATATGGGTAAGAGATTGGTTTGCGGGTTGTTTTCTGTAGCGTCACAGGTTGTGTCTCATTGTTTTTCTTTCTTGGATCGATCTTATTGCATAGAATTGAACGATTTTACCGGTGAGATACCGAGTGAAATTGGTTTGTTGACGTCTCTGGAAGAGATAAATTTGAGTAAGTGGTTCCGACGAGAACGAATGGAAACACGTTTGAGGAATCTTGTGTTTCGTCGGTCTCTGTACCTGCTGACTGTTGCCCTTGCTGTCGCGGTTTCTTCTTTTTTTCTTTGTTTGCTTTGCCCTGCGCAGCATCGAACAATTCGACTGCCGCGATCCCATGCGAGATTGCTTCGTTGCTCGACAACAACACCACCGGCGGGATTCCGAGCGAGTGACTTTCGTTTCGGTGATTGGCCGTGGCTTTCTTGGTGATCGATTGCCTTTGTCGCCTTCCATTTCATAAAAGCCATTAAAAACTACTCGAGCAGTACAGTGCCGTGTCGTGGTTGGTTACACAAGTGTCTCTGGTGGGCATCCATTGCGTTGCGGTCCATCCCTCTGCGTTTTGTAAAGCGGTTTGTTCGCGGTGGTAGCTAGGCCATGCGCACAACAACAGAACTACACGGCGTCCAGAGAACATTCGGCGTCTGTGTAGGAGAGAGCACCGTCCCGGGGGACGGCGATTGGCAAGGAATGGACGACACAACGTCTGCTCCGGGGAGGGGAAGGCTGCCGGCCTTTGTCTCGGAAAGAGCAAGGGCGTCCGGGGAGGGGGGGGGGATCCTTGGAACATCGACTTCCACTGCCGCCGAAGCAGACGCATCTGACCAACGGGTGAATGGGCGAATTCCTCCCGGTGCGAGTTTCGGTATGTATCATATGTATCGTATGTACCATACGTACGGCACATCCAAAATCCAAACCAACGAGAAACGAATGGCCCACAACCACCGCAATTCCGCATTGCATTTATTGCATTGCATTTATTGCGCTGCATTCCTTAACAAACACCCAGTCAAGGACCAAGGCAAGCATGACCAAAGAAGGCATCCCCCGCGACGGCGACGGCGACGACGACGACAACCAAGCCGCCGGTGTTCTCGGCGTTCTCGATGGCCTCAGCGACGACGACGACGAGGCTTCCGACGACGGGTTCGAACCGGCCCCCACCCTCTTCGTCCTGAAGGGAGTCGACACGAGCCTGGACGAGATCGTCCTGGAGGACTGCCTCACGCGGGTCCTCTCGGGCGGCTACGACATGGGCAGCGACGAAACCGGGGACGCGGACGAGGACGCGGAGAACTTTCTTCCCTCCTTTGTGGTCACCCTCCTGGAAACCGACCACGGGGGAATCGCCGGCGCCGTCCTCTTTTGCGTGGACCGGGCCCTCGTGCTCCACGGCGAACGCCACAACGACGACGACGACGCGGAAGGCGTCCTGGCGCGCATCCGGGAGTACGCGGCGTCGGGGGAGGCGGGGAAGACCGACCCTTTGTGGCTCGTCGGGGAATCCCCTTCCATCGAGGTCCTGGGCGAGGAGGAAACGGCGCGGAGGATGGCCGGGGAGGAGGCCGGGGCGGAAGAACCGGCGGAGTGAGCGAGCGAGCGCACGGAAATGCAGCGCGTTTCGCCCCGGACCGTCGTGGCTCTAGCCTCCATTGACCGGTGGCTAGGAGAGAAAACAACGACGACGGGATCTCGAAAGACGAAAACTTCTTGGAACCGGTTTCGCAAGGCGTGCGGTCGCCAATGGATTCCGACGATCGATCGAGCAGCAAATCAAGTAGACAACAACAAAAACTATAGACAGAACTTGTTTGGAGACATGCTACCAGGCACAATTGGCAATACCGTAACCATCAACCATCACTGATTTCTTAAGGGTCAGCAGCGTGACAAAGTTTGAGGGTGTACGTACGTATATAGCTTCTAAATTTGTTTTTCACGTACCAAAGACACGCTTTGAAGTTTAGAACTTCATGTAGAACGTCTACTAGGTTCTACTGAGCTAGTTTTTGGATGGCATTCACGATTGAAAGGCTGGATTCATGATTGAATCACCTCAAACCATTTTGTTTTGTTTTGAGGGGAATCAATCCGGCTTGCGGCTCCTGCAGCACACACGGATGCTGTATCCAGCTCTGCTATGGCAACTGCTGCCGTTGTTGTTGCCGCTGCTGCCCTGAGCAGGACAACCATTTGTCAAAACTTGGACAAGCTTGGAGAGACAAAATTTTTACTATATATTCTAATCAATTCATGTTCAGGAGCTAGATCAGTACATTGGCTATGCTGCCCCGTCTGCCTGTTGAGGTGTAAAAGACAACAAAAGAATAAACAAAAAATGCTGTCCGGCCGCCCCTCGTGGCGTGAACGTGGCGTGAAACAAAACAAAAGAAACAACGAACAACCCTTGTTGCATGTTTACATGACAAAAGTAAGCTCCTCCTGCCAGTTGAAATAAATAATTATTTAGTTGAAGTTTTAAAAGTTTGTTGTGATGGGAAAAACGAGCGATGGTACAGGAAAATGTTATCATTGCTGTGTGCGTAAAATTACGCAATCTTTTTCGGGACGAACCAAAAGGATCGTTTTTGGTTGATAGCACGAACACTGCAGAAACAAAGCCGGGCCCGCATCGGCATGGCATCGGCACAGGGGACGGACACACACACAGTACGGGCCGGGCCCCGGGTCCTGCGATCGAGCGGCCGCTGGTTGCGGTGTGGCCGGGACGGGGCAGGCACCGCCGTTGTTGCCGCCGTGGTCGTTGCGGCGTTCCCGGGCAAGAAGGCTCCCGGTCGACCCGTTTCAATCCGGACGCGACGGTGGTGCCGTGGTGGCAGCCGGGTGTGGACAATGATTGCTTCGCTTCGCTTCGTTGTCTGGATCCGCACTGCCGTCGGAGTGGCCGCGGCCGACCTGAAACCATCGCATTGGGCAACCAACCCCGCTGGATGAAGGAAGACCTACATGCAAGTGTATGAAATAGATCATGATCTTTGCAGCCGTGTACTTGGTTTTTCCCGGGGGAGCCTTGGTTCCGGAGATACTCCCTTGGGCGTTACGCACCCGATTTTGGTCGTCGATTCGCCGTTTCGTAGGCCTTGTTTGAAAAAAATTATTGCAAGCCCATTCGAGCTCCGTTGCTGTTGCCAGCGCGCACGCCCAACAATTGGTTCATGCTCGTTGCAGTCGTCCAATCCGCCCAGTCCGAGGAGGTTTGGTTGCGGAGATACAGGAAGTCCCCATGGCGGAACCAGGAAATGAACAATTTTCACGTCTCTTAGAAATGCGGCGTTCGCGATTGAATGAGTTTATCTGTTGGAGCAGAACAACTATTTCGGGAATTGCACCCGCCGAGGAGCCGACCACCACGGGCACAATATCCATCAGAACACCCTGTGCCGTACAGGCAAAGGCGCCGGGAGCGGCCGCAAACAGCCGGTCCTACGCCCTCCCCGGATCTTGTGCGGGGTTGTGAGAAAGAGATCGCGGGTGGTGGTGGTGGAATTCGTCGTGCGGTTATTGATCTCGTTCGGATGGGTTCGTTGTTTGCTGATGTTTGTTGTTTGTCGGGTGTCTCATCGCGTCGATGCCATGCCATGCCATGCGATGCTGGGAGCCTGGAAACTTGCTAGGACGCAGGCGACCGACGGGCTCACACTCCACCACTGGCTGGCGATGGGCTTCTCTGGAAGTTGCGTCGCCGCTCGTTGTGGTCTTGTTCTCTGTTTGCTCTGATTGAAGCTTTTCTGTCGGATTCGTCTTACACCTGCTCCATAATCCTCAACGTCGCATTGCTTGCCTAATTGCCCCGTCCTCGAGTGTAGCGATCCGACTTTTTCTCGACCTCGATGTTGAGATTGGTTGTGGTCTCGGCTTCCTCCGGATCTTTTGCATCGCAAATGATGATTTGCGACATGGCAAACGATGCTTCGTCGCAGTAGTATTCTTGCAAGTTGAACAGGAAGGTTCTCAACGATGGCTTCTTTTGGTCAAAGCAATCTCTGTAATCCTCAGGATAAATGTCGGAAAGGTAGAGCTTATCGTGCAAAATATTATCCTCCTCCTTCAGTAAGTACTCAAAGTCCCTGTTATTGTTGTCTTGCCGAAATAAATCTTTCTTAGCACATACCGAATGCATCAGTGGCTCCACAATGGCACTATATACTACTGAAATGGGTATCTTTCGAAAGATGTCCTTCATGGAAGGATCTGCTCTATCTTCGGGCATTTTGACTTTTGCATAGATCCTCTGGACCAATTCATTCAGCTTCGTCCCAACCTCCCAGGTTTCACACAGCGTTTCGGTCGTTTCTGCTGCCAAGACGTCCTCGGCAACCTGAAAAATCCAAGCCATTCTTTGAGGCCACATCTCTACCAGGACAATGGCCTTGATGAGCTATCGCCTGAAGACGCGGTCGCTTTCTTTATCGGTTTCAAGGCGGGGAAGAATGCTTCTCGTGATCTCTCGTGAAACATTGTAAACATTGATGATTCTCTTGATTTTCCTGGCCTTTTCTGGAAAGCATTTTGAAAAATTTTGGATCCAAAACCACTCTTCGGCACCCAAGTTGAAGATTACTTCTTCAGGTCTGAAGTTGACGACTGCTGCAGGAGTTTCTTCATCCGACTCAGTGCCTTTCCCGTCTTTCTTTTCAGATTCTTCGTTGACTAAAGTGCCTTTCTCGACTTTCTCTTCATGTTTTCTGTTTGACGATTGCCTCCCTGCGGAATTCGGAACCCATCGACGCCCAGACCTTCGTGCGCTTGACTACGATCGAGCTGGGCCTAAGCCAGTTCAAGTAGCTGTGAGTGTTTCCATATAGTTTAGGACCTTAGAGCTGTGCTCAGCGTTTGGCTGGAGAGTCACAAGACCTCCCCCGGCCCTGATAAGCTCGGTCCAACGAGCATCGAAAGTCGGTCCTTTTTCCCAGTTGCTGGAGTTTTTCCTCCGTGTAGAAATCCTACCAGGTCCTACACAGTGAGAATGTCGGAATCCAGCAAAAATGGGCAAAACGCGCCGACAATGACTTCGACGAAAACAGTCGGAAGAGGCAAAAGCACAAGCAAAAGCCCACTCCCTGCTGTAATTGCACTGAATTCAGCACCTGCCAACGACTTCCCATAGGCAAGGCCGCTGGATGCAGCTGTCTTGGTCAAGGAAGGAGCTGTGTAATTGCTCTTGCTTCAAAAGATGCAAGAACAAATACCAATCGAAATTGACCCCCCCGGCCACCGGTGGCATCGATTCCTTCTTCCCGCCAACCAAGCCCCCCCCCCCCTCCTCCTCCTCCTTCAATCTGATACAAGGGTCCCCTCCCCACCGGGGCTGATCCCACTGCTTTCAGACCCCCTCCAGGGGCCCCATACCAAAAGCTCGAGGATACTGATGAGGACGCGCATTATTCGGCGTTACGGAATATTCCAACAACAAGAAGACCGCTAATGATACAATCGAGGAGGATTCCGCCACCAAACCACCACCAGAACCTTGTTGCCAGTGCTCTAAGGTCAGCACTTGCATCCGGCTCCCCACCACCAACAGAAGGGGCTGCAGCTGCCTACAGGCCAGACAGGGCTGTGTAAACTGTAATTGTATGCATCAATGCAAGAACAAATGCAATGTGAACAGAGGCGCCGGCAACAAGACCGAAAATACCAGAAACAAAGGCCCCATCAACAGGCAGCCCCCCTCCACACAGGATTCCGAACTACCACTTACACAGGAGGACGCCGCCAGTTGCACTGGGACCAATAACACTCAGGGATTAACATCCGGGGAGGACAACACCGACAACAAAAACAAAAACAACAAAAATAAGGCCGGTGTTGCACTCACTCAGCACCACACTCCCAACCCCCCGAGAGTTGCATCCGCTTTGGAGGACTCCTATGATTCCACCAATGAATCTTATGATTCCGACGGGTATTCCGATTCTGGTCAATATAACGGTCCCAAAGAGTTTTGGGAGTTTGATAGGGATGAACAATACGATTCAGATCAATATTACATTACATCACAGGATCTCAAGAACCCACCAGGCCTGGATGCACCAAAAACTGCAGCAAACCCAGCAGCAAACAGCACAGCTGAGACTGCCGCAGCTTTTCATACACCCGGAGCCTCTCTGGAGGCTGCTCCCGTGAACGCGAATTCGACTGCAAATGCGAATGCGTATGCGAATGCAAACACGGAGGATATTGAGGATAGGACTGCGGATACGAACACAGGCGAGGACGCATTGGAAGCTCTATTGGCAGCTGCAGAAGACTCCCAATCTCCATTCCTGGATCATTCACAGGCGTCCATCCCTTCCTCTTTCCTTGCGGACAATAAAGCATCGATTACGGCGCCGGATGACGATATCGCTCCGGATGACGCTCCGGATGCGACTTTTGCAGCTCCCGCTTCATCGAACGATACGGATGCATATGTTGCAGCTTCCGCTTCATTGAACGATACGGATGCACCGAATGCAGCTCCCGATGCACCTCCTCCGGTTGCACCTCCTCCGGATGCACCTCCACCGGATGCACCTCCGGCCGCACGGAAGGTTCGAAACGCATCGAACGATACGGATGCAAATGTTGCAGCTTCCGCTTCATCGAACGATCCGGATGCACCGAATGCAGCTCCTGATGCACCTCCTTCAGCTGCACCTCCTCCGGCCACCGCCCGGAAGGTTCGAATTGACTTGAGAGGAAGAGCCAGGAAGAAAGCTAAGCGTCGGGCTCGCATGAAACGGCACGAGAACCCATACAGACCTGACGTTGAAGGCAGGACGCTGAACGAGGTCAAAGAACGTTTAAACGCAAGGCGCGAACGAGTCTTGGCGACTCCCCGCCACTCACACACGCCACAACGAGCTCCATCTCCATCCCCAGAACCAGAAATACGGCGTCTGGAGGCCCCCATCACAGACCCCGGGGCTGACCTCCCAGGGTACGAACTCACTGATGCGGATAAGAAGCTGGACGAGGTTTATGGTGATCACATTCACGACAACCCAGGGACGCACCTCACCTCCGGCAAAGCTGATGACGCTACCTGGCGTCGCCGTTGGCTCAAAGTTGTGAATGTGAAACCGAGACGCTACATGGTCCCCCAGAACAGCGTGGGCAAAGAGTTTCTCCTGAAACTGATCACGGAACTTCAAGGCGTAAGGMACAGAGAGCACAATTCCGAACGCCCCTTGGTTTTTGTCGCACTGATGCTCCAGATGGCCGACGGAGTGACGAAGGCAAAGGACATTCGACAACTCATCAAAACACGCCTTCAACA